GCCTCGGGGTGCGACAGGGAACAGTTACTTATAAGGAACAGGTATGTACGGAGTGAGGAGGTGAGGAGTGGGCAGCGAGGAACGAGCAGTGATGATGATGACGATGATGACAATGGTAGGGAGAAAGAAACGCTGGATGAGGATCGCAGATCCCCTGGCGAGCCGTCCGGATGACAGCTCGAGGCGCGCGTGGCGACGGATGAGGATGACAAGGATGACAAGGAGGAGGAGGATGAGGAGGAGGATAAGGAGGATCCGGAGGAGCAGGAGGCGAAGATAAGAGGAGGATATGTGATGCTCGCCAACCTCACCGTCGCTCTGCTATTTTTTCAGTGTTGGGGGACACATTGCGAACCCCACACATATCTACTTGTATAAACAAGAGGACACATATCCGCCACCGTGCCCCGAGGCTAATCTCTTAAGCGTCAGTCCTCAATCAAGAGGATTCCTGAAGGGGCCCAGACCCCAAATTGCCAAATCATCTTGAGCTTCATCTTGGGCTCCCCGAGTGCCCTCTCGGCCGCATCGCGTGGTGGCGCGTGATTTTTTAAAGAACCGCGAAGGACCCTAGACGGGTCAGGAGGGCCTCGAATCGCCGAAGGATCGCTCCAAGACGGCCAAGGTAGTCCCAAGACGGCTTAAGAAGCCTTCGAGACGTCCCGAGAGAGCTCCAAAAGGCGTCCCAAGAGGGTCCCGAGAGGTCAAAGTCACTGATTTTCGTCAAGTTTTGTTCAACATGTTTTTAAGGTTCGCGCCTTTTCGAGCTTCCGACGCTCCAAGACGTCCCAAGAGGCCCGAAAGACAGCCCCAAGAGGCCCCCAAGAGGGCCCCGAGATGGCCCAAGAGGGCCTCAAGACGGCTCGGGAGGGCGCGGCCCCAAGAGGGGGAACACGAACCGAAACTCCGACCCTTCCGCCCCAAGAGGCACCCAGGAGGCCCGAGGAAGCATCCACGAGGCCCCAAGAGGCCCCCAAGAGGCCCTCCCGATGCCCCCAAAGTCCTCCAAGAGGCCCAACACAGGCCTCCAAACGGCACCCTGGACGCCTCGAAACTGCCTCCAGGAGGCCCCCGAAAGGCCTCGACGACATCCCAACGAACATCCAAGAGGCCTCAGACCCACAACCCCGGTCTCGGCGCCCTGTTGGGGGCCTCTTATTCGGTCTTGGGGTGAACTGTTGTGCTCGTTGGGCTGTCTTGGAGCGTCGGCAAGGCATACGACGACTGTGCGGAGTCCCAAGGCTCGCAAACAGGCCCCGGATGCCGAAATAAACAGAAAACCGCCGGGGCTAAGAAATTAGCATCGTCGGATGTCTGGGACCCCCTGTCATCGAACACACGGCAACGTTCTGCCTTGGCGACGTCGGCTCTGGTTCCTGACACCGCATGGGTCGTTCAGCCTTGAGCTATCTCCGCTCTCGGGGGTTCCCGGAGCCTGTCAACATCATCTGTCGCATGGACGTCGCGCCAGTGCTGCTCTCTGTGCGTCCCCGATGATCTCTGCCTCTCTCTGCAGCTCCCTGCTGCTCTCTGCTCGTCTCTGCTGGGAGCTGCTGGTCGCTCCTGCTCTTTGCCTCTGTCTGGCGGTCTCTGCTGCTGCTCCCTGCCACTCTCTGCTGGTCTCTGCTGCTCCCTGCTGCTCTCTGCTACCCGCTGCTGGTCTCTGCTGCTCCCTGCTGCTCCCTGCTGCTCTCTGCTCGTCTCTGCTGCTCTCTGCTGGTTTCTGCTGCTCGATGATGTTCATCTGGTCTCTGCCGCTCTCCGCTGCTCTCTGCGGCTCTGTGCGGCTCCCTGTTGCTCTCTGCTGGTCTCTGCTGCTCTCTGTTGGTCTCTGCTGCACCCTGCTGCTCTCTGCGGCTCTGTGCTGCTCCCTGCTACCCTCTGCTGCTCTCTGCTGATCCCTGCTGCTGTCAGCTGCCCTCTGCTGCTCTCTCTTGCGGTAGGACATCAAGACAGGATACGGCCCCGACGCTAAAACCGTCCTTCGTCGTATCCCGGAGGAGGCCCCCCCGGGGCCGAAAAAAGGACCAGCTCCCCAAACAAATTGCGCTAGTGGCCTCGTGCCCACGAGCATGCGTTGTTTTTTTTGACTGGGGGGCCGTTACAGAATCGGCTGAGGATAAGCACTATCTCCCCCAGTCCAGACGCGAGGGTTCTCCCTTGCGGCCGATTCGTGCGCGGATGGGTTACCACCCGCGCCCCGGACGGAAAGGTTTCCCCCTGCGCCCGAGTCGCCCGCGGTGCACGGCCGGGCGTACGAGTACGGCGACGCAAGCGTACTAGCCCGACCAAAGTGGGTGTAGTAGTACGGCTACTTTAGCCTACTAATAGAGCGGTGGAGTGCAAGGACAGTCTTAATAGTACGGGTACGTCGGCCTGCGACTACGACGGCGAAGTGCAATGACGGGCGTACTGGTACAGCTACGTAGGTCTACTGGTACAACGGCTGTGTGCAAGGTCGGGCGTACGAATACGGCTACTAATACAATTGCGATGTTCACGGCCGAAAGTACGAATACGGCTACGTACGCGTACTAATACGACGGAAGCGGGCGTGCTAGTACGGCTCAGTAGGCCTACCAGAACGAAGGCGGAGTGCAGGAAACGGCGTACTAATACGGCGTCGTAGGCCTACTAACGCGGCGGCGGTGTGCAGAGTCGGGCGTACGAGTACGGCTACGTAGGCCTACTAGTACGACGGCGGAATGCAAGGACGGTCGTACTAGTACGGCTACGTAAACCTTCTAATACGACGGCGGCGTGCGGGGTCGGGCGTACGAGTACGGCTACGTACGGCTACTAATACGACTGCGACGTGCACGGTCGAGCGTACGAGTACGGCTACGTACGCGTACTAGTACGCCCCGCGGTCGTGCTAGCAGGACGAAGTAGGCCTACTAGTACGACGACCGGACAAAGCAAGCCTATTCTGGCAAGGCGAAGAGGCGGCAGCACGAACAACCATCAAACACATAACGAATCATCAGAGATGTTTGACTCTCGGGGTTCTTCTCGGGGGCGTCTTGGAACCCTGTCGGAGCGTTTTGGAGGCTTTGTGGGCTGTCTGGAAGCTTTCGTGGAGCGCCTTGGGATAGTTGTGGGCCACCTGGAAGGCGCGGTGAGCATCTGGGAGATGTGTTTGACGATTCGTGGCCTTTGTGGGCCGTCCTGGGGGTCTCTAGGGGCGTCTGAAAGGCCCCTTGGGCAATCTGGCATCCTCGTGGGGGCCTCTGAAACCGTGATGGGGCGAGCTTCGGTGTTTTTGGGGCTTTTGTGGGGGGCATCGGCATGCCGAAAAGGTTAGCATCCAAGAAACAGTGAACACCAATGGGAGACAATGACTTTTGCCTCTCGGGGCTCTCTTGGAGCGTCTGGGTGGCGTTTTGGGCCGTCTGTGCCTTCGTGGAGCGCCTCGGGAGAGCGGTGGGCCGTCTGGAGACGACCGCCAGCGTCTGGGATTTATTTTCCGGCGACTCGGGGGCGACTCGGTGCCTTGTTGGGTTGTCCTGTAAGTGTCTTGGGGCGGCTTTGGGGCCTTTTGGGTGCTCTGGGCGGAACTGGGGGGAAGCTCGGAAACCGTCTTGGAGTTGGTGGTGGTGCTTCTGGGGCTGGGTTAAAGCTTCGGTAAGCTGAGAAGACGGAAACACACCAAAACATCATACAACCAACGGACAACCAATGATTTTTGCCTCTTGGGGCCCTCTCGGGGGGCGTCTGGGAACCCTCCTAGAGCGTCTAAAGCGCATCTTGAGCCAGCTAGAAGCCTTCGTGGAGCGCCTCGGAGAGCGGTGGGCCAGTCGGAAACAACCACGAACATCTGGGAGTGACTTTCCGGCGCTCCCGAAGCGCCTCGAGAGCCCCGAGTCGCGTTTCGGGCGCCTCTCGAGCCCCTGGGCTCCCCATGCGCTGTCGAGGCCCCGGCCCTGGGCCGGGGAATACACACATATACATATAGATATAGTTCTGTGTGTGTGTGTGTGTGTGTGTGTGTGGGCACACATCTCTCTCTATCATTCCCCCGCTCGTCGTCGTCGTCGTCGTCGTCGTCGTCGTCGTCGTCCTCGCCTTGCGCCCCCCTGCAAATCAACCGACCCTGCGGTCGCTTGCCCAACGATAAGGACTATACATGGATAGAGAAGGAAGCGGAGGCGATGGAAATGGAGGACGAGCAATAGAAGTAGGAGGGGAAGCCGGATGGGAGCGAGGGAAAAAAGAACAGAAGAGAGGCCAGAAGGGCGAGGGAGCCACTATCGGAGCCACGGGAGCGACTGCCAAGAGCCCGGGAAGATCCAGCAGGGGATGGCAACCGTTCCCATCACGATCCGCAGACTCACAGCGTCACTGTGTTCTTGCGCTCGGGGTCAGGCAGCCGCGCCGCGGTGTGGTCGCCGATGCCCCAGGGGCCCCCGACCAAGTACCCCTTGTTGGCCAAGTCTTTCGTGAAGACGTTGAAGTATCGTACGCCATTCGTGGTTCGTCCCTGGGCGACTGTCACGGGCACTTTCCCATACTTGGCCCACGCCTTCTTCCCCATTCTGAGCTTGCCCGCGAACGCTTTGCCGCTGGAGCTTGAATGCTTGCCACGCGACATTTGCCTGTCATGTCCAAGTCTTAAATATAAAAAAAGTCGCTGCACGCGCCGCAGATCTTATGCACGTTCGCCGTCATCCTGAGCACCGTCTTGTTTATTGCGAAACTCGGAAAATGCACCAAGACGTGTTGCCTGGCGGCCGCCAAGTCGAACCGTTGACCCAGCAAATTCGATATGTGAGGGTCTCCGACCGCAGACACCGCAGTCGGGGTGGGCGTGGGGCTTGGCGTCGGGTCGGCCGTCGGCTTGTAACAGGTGCGCGTGTCCGAATAGTAAGGCGTCGGACGCCCCATCGCCCCCAAGCGTAGGTACAAGGCAGGGGGACCATTCCCCTGTCGAGTTATGCACAAATCCGCTGCTCTCGGGATCAGAACAGCACTTATCGGCACAGGGTTCAATATCACCACCAATGACGTCTACTCTGACTGAATCCAAGTTGCCAGCGACACCGGAGGGTCGGTGCTGGCGTTGGTGCCTCAGTCGGCGAAAGCGTCGGGCTGGGCGTCGGGACGAGGTCGGACTGGAGGTCGGACTGGAGGTCGGGCTGCTCGTCGGACTGGGCGTCGGGGACGAGGTCGGGCTGCTCGTCCGCGCCTGTGGGCACACGGAGAACCCACTGCTGTCGTGGATGCGAACGCTTCCGTCATCGAAGAAGAGAAAGTCGGACGTCAACCCACAAGCAAAGGATAAAGTGGGAAACTCGAAGGTTTTGGTCGTGGAAAAGTCGGTGATTCTGTTCTTCACGTCCACGAAATACGTCATATTCGTATAATCTGGAATCTCTTCATAACCCTGCAAATCGCACGTCTCGCCAACATCCAGCAATACGTAAGTCGGAATCACGGTTGGGGTTGTGGTGGAGGAAACCGTAATCTCTCGTAAATTGTACGGCGTCCGCACTTTCAAGGCCGACATCTCATTGCCGTCCGACCCGTGCACGGACACCTGGATGAGATACAGTCGGCGCCCATCATGGAAGTGAGCGCGGATGCCGTCGCGAAGATCAGCTTGTACGCCATCGTTGAATCGACAATGGCTTGGAAATGTAAGAATCGATGTTCAATTGATTCGCTGGGGGCAAGATGCGATCATCTCACGAACTTCGAGGCAATATGGCGACGGACGAGCAACAATAGGTAGGAGGGAAAGGAAGCGGAAAGAAGAAGAAAAATACCATGAGGACGAGGAAGAGAAAAGGAAGGCCGACGATGAGAAGGAATATAGGCATTTCCGTCCGAAAACGATGACCCGTGTGCCTTGCGAGAACACGAAATACCACCCGTGTTTCTTTGGGTTCAACATCTACTGCTGTAGAACCCCAGTGTACTGGTAATCAATCGCGAAAATGACTACACTGCGAACTTTGAATTTTCCTTCCCGTCCAACGCGAATTCATCTCCTGAACTGGTGGGTTTCGTTGGGACGGCCGGATGGTGCACTCATTTGCCCAAGGCAAACAATGACCTAAGAAATCCAGTGCTGCGGCTCCTAAAGCAGCATCTGCCACGCCCAGGTGCAGCTGCAAGTCGGCCCCAATAAAGCCATATGAGCGCCCCAGGAGGGCCCCAGGAGACAATTTGTGGGGCTCAAAAGGGGCAACCCTAAGTTAGAACCCCCCTTCACTGATCGATGTCCTCATGGATGACCCCACCAGGGCCTCCCTGGCCCCCCGCACGGCCAGCAATATGACCCCCCAGGAAAGCCCCAAGAGCCTCAAAATCGTCCCGAGGGGGCAGAGATGGTTCGAGGAAGCCTCCAACAGGCTGAAGGAGCGAAAGCACGCACGGCGCCTGATTAAGTGGGTTTTGACCCCAGAGCTCTGGCGCCTCGATGTTCCCACGACATGGGCCACAGAACTGTCGATACGTCCACTGGATCAGCTTTCTGCTTCATACCGGTTTTGATTGTATTGGGGCCCGAGAGCGAGCCCCAGCCCCAGACGCCGAGAATGCGAACAAGCTGGTCGCAATCATTACCTCGCGACGCTGGTGTTTTGAGATTGCGGCCGAGATCAATACTCAAGGAAGCTACCGCAAATACCTTCCTCGAAGACGTGGGCCCAAGTCTCAGACTTCGCGCGGAACGATCAATGTCTTTTTTTAGCCATGGTCGCGCTCAGCCGGTCACAGTCGCTGAAACTCCCACGTGCGCGCAGGACTAGATGCTCCGAACGTCCACGGAGGAACTCCTGCGTGGCCAGCTAGCCTCCTGGCGAGAGCCCAGGCTGAAGCTCGCGGGCGAGTGCGTATGCGTGGGCATGCGCGGGTCCAGAAGCTAGAAACTCACGCTGGTGCCCTCACTTGCTCCTGACCTGCCTATCGGCCGCCCAGCAGATCGCCGGGAGCTGCGCGCACTGTCGGGCGTTTTGTCCGAGCCAGCCAGGGCACCCTTGCAATAGCCAGCGATAAACTCCCAACCGATGCCAACGCCGACTGCGAGGACGGAGATGCTGGTGATGAACGCAGCGAAGACGTGGTCCTTCAACGCGAGGTTGCCCATTGAGGGTCTGCCTGGGCCTCCAGCGACGGTGTCTGTTGCCATCTGCGAACTGAAGGCCTCGGGGGCAACTGTGGGCTCTGGCTGCCTGGAGGGGTCCGGCGGCGCCGGTGGCCCTGCGGGCGCTGCTGGCTGCTGGTGTCCGCCCGCTCCGCCGTCGCCCATGCCTTCGTGGCCGTCTTGGAAGCAGGTCGCGCGGCCGCGCGCGCCGCCGCCAGAGGCGACTCCGCCCACGACGCCGCAGCCAGTGATGCCGCCGAGGAAGGAGCTGCGGGCGCGGCCCCTGTCGCCAGTGCCAGCTGTGCCCAGCGCGGAGAGGTGGTCGGCGAGGCGGCCTGCGCGCGGGGCGGGCGGCCTGCAGAAGAGCTCCAGGTGCTCCGCCGCGCCCGCGAGGCCCGCGGGCATCGGCGCTCCGGGGGACGCGCTCCCGGCGGCGCACCCTTGCTGCGGGCTCGTGGGGGGCCCCTGGCGGGGCCTGCGCGCCTTTGGCCTCCTTGAGCCCACGTGGCCCGCCAGATCCCCCTCCCCTCAGTGGGCATCTCGATGCTCCTCGGAACGCGTGTTGGCGCCAACGTGTGCTTGTCCACCGAAGCCCTCGAACACGACGCAGGCGGTGTAATCAGGGCCTCTGTGGATCCGAACGTGATAACACACATGTTGGGCTAACGAGCGAGCCTTCCTTGGGAACGCATATTTTGCTTCCGCTGGCCTTCCGCCAGCGGGGCAGCCCCCCCTCTGTTCCTGCCTGCTTCCACAGAAGAGGAGATGTCAGCATCCTCCTCCCTCGACTGCGAGGCGGCTCATGGCTGGCCCCACACGGCAACGGACGAGCACTGCCTCCGCCGCTGGAGAGGCCCCCAGAGGCTGCCGACTCCCATCGCTCAAACGGACTTCGCGCCGTGGGCTGTGCTCTGTGGGCCATGGGGCCCGAGGAGGGCCCCAGCAGAGGGCGTTCCCCCCCGAGCGTCCGCGCCAGCGTTGCATGACCGCGCCGAGACGGCGCGAGCCTGCGGCGCACCTCTGCCGCGGTCGGCGCAGGACGGGCCGTCTCCCATCCCCTGTGGACGTTGGACATGCCTCAGCATCTTGGCTGTTGTGTTCTTCCAATGCAGTGAGGCATCGGGACGAAAAGGGAAACGCCGACGTAGGCCAGTGATGCCAAATTGAAGCTGCTGCCAGTGCGGATGTAAGAGGTGCAAGAACATTTGGCAGTCTATAAGGTGCAATCTCCTCCCCCTCCTCCCCCTCCCCTTCCCGGTCGGCTCGGCTCGACTCTGCAGGCATACGTGTGTTCGCTCCCTGGCCTGTCCCGGGGCACAGGGGGGGAGGGAGAGGGGAGAGGGGAGAGATAGAAAGGGAAGGGCGACGCCAGCGCATCCGGCAATCCCTTATTCCTCCTCGTCCTCCTCCTCCTGTCTTGATTCCCCTTCTCCTCCTTGTCTCCACGTCCGTCTCCCATCCTCCCTGTCTTCTGTCCCTTGTCACTCTCCCCGTGCTGCTGCTGCTGCTCCTTCTTCTCCTCCTCCTCCTCCTCCTCCTCCTGTCTCTCTCCCCTCATCACCCGCCTCCTGTCTCCTCATGCTTCCTCTTTTGTTGCTTGCCGCGGCGGTGCCCTGAGGCGGGGTGAAAGAGGAGAGAAGCAATGCAGAAAACCAACGCTCCGAATCTACGGACCTTGAACTTGCCTCCCCCCCGCCCCACCCCATCCAAAGACGGTCGAAGTCAAATCCGGTCTCGAAGCGTGTAGAACTAGTCAACCTCGAAACCAGAACTTGGAGGAGCGACTCGGACTGGATCCCGAATCGAGATCGCCTTGGGGATGCCCTCAGGGGCCCCTTCCTCCACGCCTCCCGAGAAGCCTGCTCTCTCCTCTGACGACGCAGTATTTTTGCGACATGAGCCGTCCGGACCGCTCGCGCCGGCCGGGACCGAACTGGGCCACGTCCCGAGCCGAACTAGCTGGGCCGCGAGCTGAATCGAACGGAGTCGCGGCTCTCGTGAGAAGGCAGACTAGCGGCCAAGACCTCCAACGTGTCGAACAATCAAAGCGTTTTTCGTTTGGCCTCCTGGGGCCCTCGCAGGGCCCTGGTCTCAAGAAAGAACGACTCAGGAAGAAACGCTGGAGCTGGGTAACGGGTCGGGACGTCTGGGGACACCGTATTGAAACACCGAGCCAGTGAATCTCTGGTGGTGCGGCCAGTCATTGCGTGGTGAGATACGACACTGTAGGCGAGTTTGGTCTGTGAATCTGCTGTCGCTTTTTCAAGGGGAGTCTCTCTGTGCAGCCAGTGCTCGCATCGGAGATGCCCTGCCGCAAAAACCATAATCCAGATCACAATGTTGGCTACATGGAGAGGAGGAGGAGGAGGAGGAGGAGGAGGAGGAGGAGGAGGAGGAGGAGGAGGAGAGAGGAGGAGGAGGAGGAGGAGGAGGGAGGAGGAGGAGGAGGAGGAGGAGGAAGAGGAGGAGGAGGAGGAGGAGGAGGAGGAGGAGGAGGAGGAGGAGGAGGAGGGGAGGATGAGGATGAGGAGGAGGAGGAGGAGGAGGAGGGGGAGGGGGAGGAGCAGGAGGAGCAGCAGGAGGAGGAGGGGGAGGGGGAGGTGGAGGAGTAGAGATGAGGATGAGGATGAGGGGGAGGACATGATGAGGAGTTTCCAGTTGGCCGCAGCATTCACCCGAGTCATCTGAAGAATTCAATGAGGTTGGAAGTTCAGATGATGGTGTCCAAGCTGTTTACGCTGATGAGAAGACGGGGGAGTGGGCGGCGGTGGAGGGGGGAGGAGGCTGAGGGGGAGGAGGAGGAGGGGGAGGAGGAGGAGGAGGAGGAAGAGGAGGAGGAGGAAGCAAACGAGGAGGATGAGGAGGAGGAGGAGGAGGAAAAGGATGATGATGATGATGATGATGATGATGATGATGATGATGATGATGATGATGATGATGATGATGATGATGATGATGATGATGATGATGATGATGACGAGGAGGAGGAGGAGGAGGAGGAGGAGGAGGAGGAGGAGAAACATCAGCCTGGTGCAAGCGCCCCGTAGTAGCTTCAACACGGCGGAGCAAGTGTAGGATGAGAGAGGAGCGAGGAGGCGGAGAAGGAGGAAGAACATCTGGAACACGTGTGCTGACAAATGGGGCCGTGCTTACGGGCACACCTGCGGCAGGCCCCAGCCGGAGTTCCCGTCGGAGCCCGCGGCGGAGGACCGCACCTCGACGGAGCCGCGCGGCGAGTACGGCCCCCCGCTGCGAGTACGGCCCCCCGCTGCGGATGAGCCGTACCGTCCCCGCCGCCGCCGCCGTCGCCGTCGCCGCCGCTACCGCCGCCGCCACCGCCGCCGCCGCCGGCGTCGTCGTCGTCGTCGTCGTCGTCGTCGTCGTCGTCGTCGACGACGGAAAACTGGTCGGGCGGACGGGGACGACAGTCATGCCGTGAAGCAATCATGACGTCCTCCTCCTCCTCGTCCTCGTCCTCGTCGTCCTCCTCCTCCTCCTCCTCCTCCTCCTCCTCCTCCTCCCTCTCCACCTTCTGCTGCCGCCTCCACTCTGGCTGCTAGAGAGAGGTGGCCCAAGGCACGAGGAAACTCCAGTGCGCGGCTCTCGGGAGGGCCGGGGGGATGGGGGTTGGGTGGGGGGCCAACCCAAGCGCGCAAGCCGCTGCTACCGCATCGCGCTCAGCGGTCGGGGGAGCCTCAGTGGGTCCGTACCAAAGGTCTCTCCAGGAAAGAGTCCTGGTCGACTTCTGCCGCCGCTCGCACTCCCGCTCCTGGCCACGCTAACAACCCCGTACCCGCTCCTGAGTAGGGAATTCCCTCTACCCCATTCGAGCGGCCGCTGCCCAAGGTCAGCGATCGCCCGCCAGCGTTCCCGTCGATCCGCCTGGCGAAGGGCCCAACCCTATGCAGCCGCGTGTGGCGCGGGGCGCGGTCCTCTCGTCACACGGTGCGCGTCGAGGGGCAGTGCGCACGACAAGGGGCCTGCGGCGCGAGCATCGCAGGCGCGCTGCTTGCGACGCATGGCCGCAGGTGGGGCTCTCTGCGGGGGCACGAAGCGTGTGATGGGTGGGCCGGCATGGGCGTGCGGACGGCGACCAGAGGTGAGGGAAGAAGCAGGAGGAGGCAGGCAGGAGGCGGAAGCGGGAGGAGGGGGTGGAGCGCGGCGCTGCGGATTCGAAGCCAAGACCCAACGTCGTCCGAGGGTTAGGGAACGCGCCCGTCCCAAATGACCGTTGCTGCAACCACTCGATCATGTCTGGGTGCTCCGTCATCATGTCGCATTGCTTTTTGCCAGGGGTGATGGGGCAAGGAGCATACTTACCGCTGCACGCTGGCTTCGAAAACCAATGCACCATGCGCAGTGCCAGCCACCTCGCCGTCAATTTGCATTGCTGTTTGGCAAATGCTGTGGGAGTGCCGAAATACTGCCTGACTTTCGGTGTCACGTGCACTCGCTGAAACTGGCGCGCTCCTCTGCGCCCGTCGCGGACGGGGCAACCTGGGGCGCTTGCAGCACGTGGCACGCTTGGCACACATGATGGCGCGTGTCGCGCACGTGCCGCACCCTGCGCACCAGGCGCGCTGGGGCACCTGGGAGCGCACTTGGCACGCGTGCCCCAGCTCGCGATCGCGGCGCACCTGGGGCCTCTGCTGGTTCATCGGATGGCGAATGGCGACCGCTGCCGATGCTGAGTCTCGGGTGCTGCATGTGCGGCCAGATGGCGCGTGGGAGCGAGCGAGCGAGGCAGCCTGCTGCGCTCCTGCTGAGAACTCGCCTCCCGCTCCCACTCCCGCTGCTGCCCTGGCCCTCCCGCCCCCGCCCCCCGCCCGCTACCCTTGCGGGACGCTTGTGCTCGTCCTCCTGCTCGCATCTCTCTCTTTTCCCCGCGCAGAACTTGCACTGACGGGCTCTTACCGGGTCTTTGTGAAGAACTGGCCGTCTGTGCCGCGCTTTTCTGGTGGCCGCTGCGCTTCCTGTGGTGGTCCGGTGACTGCTTGGCCTCCCGTGGCTTACCCCCTTCACCGGCCCTCTGCGCCGAACTTTCCCCATGGGTTCCCTTGGGCTCCCGTGGCTTCCCCCCTCCTCCTCCTCCTCCTCCTCCTCCTCCTCCTCCTCCTCCTCCTCCTCCTCCTCCTCCTCTCCTCCTCCTCCTCTCCTCCTCCTCCTCCTCCTTCTTCTTCTCCTTCTTCTTCTTCTTATCCCCCGTTTTCCGTTCTGAAGGTCGGCAGAAGGCATCCGTGACCCGCCGAGCAGCGCCAACGGCTGGGCGCGAAGCCGTGGCCCCCCCCACGCCTGGCTGGGCAGGGGCCGGGCTCTCGCCGGCCAGGACCGGCGCGGACGGAGGGGCGGGCACGAGGAGCAGGCCCGAGAGCGGAAGGCGAGGGGATTTTTCCTCTCGCCGTCCCTGCCCCGACGGCGACAGGGACGGCGAACGGCGGCGCCGGCGGCGGCGGTGACGGGAACGTCCGCGCGGGCCGCGCGCGCGCAGGGGTCTGAGGCCTCCGGTTGGTCCCGGGCAGAGGGCCAGAAGCTGTCAGGAACCGCGGCACCCGATCCTCCTCGATCCCCTTCGATCGTGGAGCCTCGCTCCTCCCCGATCCTCCTCGTCGATCCTCCCCGATCCCCTTCGACGGTCCTCCCAGGCCCTCCTCGAACTTTCAGGAAAGGGCCCCGATCCCCCTCGATGCTCCAGCTCCTCGATCCTCTCCGATTATTTGCGATGCTGCGCCTTGATCCTCCCTGGTTTTCTTCATCGATCCCCCCAGGTCCTCCTGCTCGATCCCCATCGAACCTCCTCAAATTGCCTCGGTCTTCCTTCTCGACCCTCCTCCTCGATCAAACTCGGCCCTCCCCGATCTTCCTCGAACTTCCAAAGTTACGGAAAGCTGTGCTAAGCCGTGTAAGGCGGTTTGTGCATTTTTCCCTGGGACTTCGTCACGATGCTCAGCATCGTCACGTTTCCCGTGAGGCTTCGTCACTATGCTCGTCGTCGTCGTCGTCGTCGTCGTCGTCGTCATCGAGCCTTCTGGGGCCTCAACAAGTAAATAAAGGTAAACAGCAAACGAGAAGTCGGAAATCGCACGCCGCTCCCTTTCGCGACTCATGCGACTCCCTCCTGCTCCTCGTCCTCCTGTCGCCCTTTCCTCCCCCCCCTCCTCCTCCTCCTCCTCCTCCTCCTCCTCCTCCTCCTCCTCTTCCTCCTCCTCCTCCTCCTCCTCCTCCTCCTCCACGAGGTAGCGCCGACAGCCGCCAGCGCGTTGAGGAGTCGCTGGGGCCGCGAGCTGGCGGTGGCACTGCGCCGCGCCGCGACCCTACACAAGGGGGGGCGTGGCGCACAAGGTGGATGGGAGTGGCTTAAGCTGTTTTGCCCTTCAGCGTTCATCGCGCCCAACGGCTTCCAGCACACGGCGTTTCGGACCTGAGGGCAGTCCCCTCAGGGAGGCCTTGCAGTTGCACTTGCCACTCGCATACTGCACTGCAGCGGCTGGCAAGCCACTGCTCCTCATCTGGGGCCGAGTCTCCGTGGTCGAGCTTCTGGGGCGAGGCGCACCAGGGGGAGAGGGGGAGCGCACCAGGGGAGGGAGGGATGGGGGGTGCACCAGGCCTCTAGGGACTTCTTGGGCGCTCCTTAAGGAGGGGCTTTTGCGCACTGTTGGGCCGTGTTGGCAGCCCTGGTGGCGTTCTGGGTCACCTTGAAAGCTTCTGGAGTGCCTTGGAGAGCTTCGGGGGGGCGGCGGGCCGCCAAGGCAGCTTTGAGAGGGGTCGCACCAGGGGTGTGTGTGTGTGTGTGTGTGTGTGTGGGCGCGCAGGGGCATCGGGCAGAGGCCTTGGGATCGGGCTCGCGAGTCTTCCTCGGCCCTGGGCGGCCGCCCGGCCTCCGGGCGCCGTCCCGCCGTCGCGGGCCCGCGGGCCGAGGCCTGGCGCGCGATGGGATGGGCCTCGCGAGAGCGGGAGGAGGAGGAGGAGGAGGAGGAGGAGGAGGAGGAGGAGGAGGAGGAGGAGGAGGAGGAGGAGGAGGAGGAGGAGGAGGAGGAGGAGGAGGAGGAGGAGGAGGAGAAGGAGGAGGCAGGGGCCCGACCGCACAAGCATGACCCTGGGCAGGAGCTCCTGCTGGGCAAAGGGCGCTTCAGGCAGTGCCACACGCGCGTTGTCCATCCCCCCCCCCTGTTGGCCTGCCGTCCGCGCGCCAGAACATGCATGCCAGGTGCGCGTTTGATGCCCCCTCCCTTGGCGCAGAAACTTGAGAAAAGCGCGTGCCAGATGTGCGCTTGCCAGACTCACGCTGGCTATGCCCCGTCTCTCCCACGTGCTTTTGCGTGCGGGGGATCCTGCGACTCCGTGCTCGATGCCCCCTAGCGCCTGAACGCGTGAAGCCACCCGTCTCCCTGCTCATGTACTTTCACGTGCTACGAGCCCGACGACCAATCCGACGCCCTCTGCTCATCGATATGCCTCCCAAGTCTAAGGTCGACGGCACGACGGACAAAGATATCCTGGGCCAGCGCCTCTACATAGGTCGCCTGCCTTCGGGTATCGTGCCCCTCGATGCGCGGCGCGCGATCATCTTCGCGCCGTTTCGCCCTCGCGTCGCACCTCCTGGAGAAAGGCGCCTCTCCATCCCAGGCCGCGATGCGCGATGCGCGATTATCTTCGGGCCCCTGGGGTGACCTAGCTTACCAGGAAAAGGGCCCAGTCCTCCTCTTTCCTCACCGATTCGAACCTCGACCTCCCCGACCCTCCTCGAGCCTTCCCCTCATCGCCACCCCCCCATCGAACTTCCCCAAGTAGATCCCCACCTTCCCGATCCTCCTCGATCCTCCTCCCCAGTCCTCCCCCCTCGATCCCCCCATGCGCCCCGAGTCTCCTCCTCGACGAAGTGACAACGGCCGAGATCCGCTCACAATCTGTCCCTGGACCCCTCCCAGGGTCCATCCTGGGCAGCTTCTCATCCCAGACGGCCCGAGAGCGATCGAGCCTCGAACCTCGAACCCTCTCCTCCGGCACATGGTTTTCACGATGTGAGAGAGCGCGTTTCACAGGCGCTTGCCTTGGGAACATTCGGCGGCGCATTTCGAACCAGGGGGTGGGCCTCCCCCCCTCAACACTCGGCGCCGTCGATCAGAACCAGGGGAACTCCCCTCCCCCCTAACCCACCCCCTCCGGACCCCCCCCCCCGCTGCTAAAGGGGGAGGGCGGGGTCCAAAACGCCTTCCCCTCCTCCCCTTGGCGCCGGCGCCGGCGGTGGCTGCCGCTGCAGCGCCAACGCAGCGACGATGACCATAAAGGGCCCAGGAAGGGGGGGGAGTTTCAACCCTCCCCCCCTCCCCCCCCCCGCGCCGGCGCCGGCGCTGGCGCTGGCGCTGGCGGCGGCCAGCAGCGCCGACGGCGGGGACGCAGCGACGATGACCAGAGAGGGCCCAGAGGCCGCAGAGGGAACACACACACACACAAATCGCCATATCGAGCCCTTGCATGCTCCTCAAACGCCCCCGAGACCCTTCTGACGAGACTTCTGAAGGCATCCATTACAACTCTGACCCTTTGCCAAAACACAATGGCGGGAAGAGCCGAAGGCCACACCACCGCCACCACCACCACCACCACCGCCACCACAGACCAACATACCACCACCACCGCCACCGACACCACCACAACCACCACCACAACCACCACAACCCACCATCACTGCAACCACACCACCATCACCACAAACCACCTCCTCCTCCTCCTCACCACCACCACCAAAAACGCCACCACCACCACAACCCACCACAACCCACCACAACCACCACCACCACAAGCCACCACACCATTACCACCACCACCACCGCCACCGCCACCACCACCACCATCACCACACCCCACCACCAACACCACCACCACAAACCACCACACCACCACAACCACCACCACCACCACCACCACCACCACCACCACGACCACGACCACGACCACGACCACCACCACCACCACCCCACCACACCACCACCACCACACCTCCACCTCCACCACCACCACCCACCACCCACACCACCACCCACCACCCACCACCCACCACCCACCACCCACCACCCACACCCACCGCCACCGCCCACCACCCACCACCCACCACCCACCACCACACCACCACCCACCACCCACACCCACCACCCACCACCCACCACCACCACCCACCACCCACCACAACCACCAGCACCAGCACCACTACTAGCAGCAGCCACCACCACCACCAACACCACAGCCCACCACCACCACCACCACAAACCACCACGCCACCACCACCACCACCGCCACCACCACCACAGCCACCACCATCACCACCTCAATCCACCACCACCACCAAACCACCACACAACCACCACCACCACAGCCACCACCACCACCACAGCAGCTCACCACCACTGCCGCCACCACCAATACAATAACTCATCACAATTACCGCCACCACCACCACAATCTACCACACCACCACCACCGCCACAACCACCACCACTGCTACCAGCAAGACGACCCACCACCACCACCACAACTGCCACAAACCACCTCACCACCACCACCACTGCCACTACCACCGCCACCAACACCCCCGCTGCCGCCGCCAGCCGCCAGCCCGAGGAGAAGGAGAGAGAGAAGAAATTGGGGAGGGGGTGGGGTGGGGTGGGGTCCGGTTCCACCCCTCCCCCTCCGAGCGACCACAGAACGCGCTCTTTCCGCGATGTGGACCCCAAGGGATCCCGACCTCTTCCCGAATTGCTTTTTTACGACGGCATCGGGGCAACGAACAAAACTGCCCAACGTGTGATGTGAAACTGACGAGTACCCCCACACATTAAACGTGTTATACAGTTATGTGCTCGCCGCTGCAGTGCAGGGGCTGCCTCTTGCCTCTCGGCCGAACGCTGCGCACGGTGCTGCTCGCATGAGCGGGCAGTGAAGCGTGCGCGCGTGGGAGCTGACCCCCCCCATTCCCTTCCCGCTTATGCCCCCCCCCTTCCAAATCTGGGCGAGTGCTCGAACTGAGAACCTGCAAAGCGAGCTGCAGAGAGTTACCAACCGAACGACCAGGGTCCAGACCCCAAGCTGTTGTAGGATGGGTGGGTGAACTAATTGATCGCCACTGCTCATAAAAAAATGCCCTGAGCCCGCAGATCTCGAGAGAAATCATCGAGTCAGGATGAGGGAATACCCAGCACGGATCAGCTGACATCTACAGGTTGACGTCGAATGGGCGGTGGCCGCTCCGAATCGCACAGACGGCGTGCCTTGTAAGAGTGAGCAGGATACGAAGATTCGTCTGGCGCGCGGGCGCATTCGGGGAGAGTCGATGAGAGGGGGGCGGGTAGGGAGTACTTGTTGCGAGGCGACGTCGTCGTCTACAACTGTTGGCTGTGTGCTTACTATGCGACAAAAAGGAGCTGACGCTTGAATTGCTAATGCATAAGCTTCATATCAGAACGCTCTGGATGAAAGGCTGGCGGGGTGCTGGAGTGGCTAGTCCAACAGATCCAGTATCAGAGCGGGCAACACGTTAGCAGGTCCGCCAGACTGGTGATGTCCCCCGCCACCTCAACGTCGCGCTTGGTGTCTCGCACATGCGTGGCCCACAGCATCTCGTTCACCTCGTCGGTTGCGTTGTAGTTCAGGACGCACTTGATGTCCTTTGTCATGAGCTCCCCCTTCTTCTTTGCCATCGGAATACGCGAGAGCTTCTCCTCAGGATCCTTGGCAGGCTCGGTGTTGAGGTGCGTGGTGCCGAACGCGTTGCACCAGAGAGGGGTGTCCAATATGGGTATGTCGCCGTCGTACACAACCCGAGTCTTTTCTGACGACCCCAGGGCTAGGAAGCGGCCTCCAGAGGCCGACACATAAAAAACGACAGTCGCCTACTGACTCGGGTCAATGCAAACCCAGGTCATTCAAGCTCTGCAAAGTACTGCAAAACCCTGCAAGATCCTGCGCGCTAGCCCAGGTCCGGGTCAATGCGCCCCTGGCTCTGAAGGATCCTGCAAGACCTTGCGCTTTGGCTGCCCCACGTTTACATTGGCCCCTGGCTCTTACCACACCGTCGCGTTCTTGATCTGAGAAAGACTATGACCGTGTTGGGAGGAAGGGGTTGGGGAGATACTGGGCACGACTGTTTAATGAGCACCGTAAGTCGCGGTAAAATGGATGAGCTGATCATTTCTCCCATCGTCATTCCTCCTCCTCCTCCGCCTTCTCCTCCTCCTCCTCCTCCTCCTCCTCCTCCCCCATCCCCCCAACCCGATAACTGTCGTTATGATCTTCTGCAGCGCCTAGAGCTGAGGGAGCCGGCTTCTCTCCCCGACCGTCGAGCGACGGGATCCCGTGGGGCCAGGAGGCTGGCGCGGGGCCGCGGCAGGGCGCCTCGGCGGACTTCTCGGCGTCGCCGAGGACAAACCTGGTGCCGCCTGCCGCCCGCACCCCTCTCTCTCTCTCTCTCTCTCTCTTTTTTTGTGTTATATATATATATAAAAGATGCATGTAAAAAACCGGATGGGCCACTCTGTGCTTCTTCTTTGATTTCCCACTGAGCGCCTTCGCCCATTCTCGGGCTCCGGGGCCCTCACGGATCGATCCAGCGCGAGGAATGCAGCAGAAAGATGTGGTCTAGGGCTGCGGCCATGATTTCCTACGACGTTGTAGTTTTTCGCCACGTCTCATCTGAGGGGACGGAGGGAGGGATGGAGGGGCTCAAAGGACAGTGCATCGCACGAAGCGCTTAGTGTCGACTTCGGGGCCATAATACTGGAAAGCGGTGGCTTGCACATCCGTCCCTGCAGCAGTGGCAGCGCGAGGCGATGAAGATGAAAATGATGACGACGCGGCGGAGGAGGAGGAGCAGGAGGAGGAGGAGGAGGAGGGCGAGCAGTGGCCACGGGTTGTGGCGCTGACAAGCGAGATATAGCAAGCGAATGTGGAGCCCAACGCCATCCGCTGCAGAGCGTTGATCAGCACGCGTGGGCAGGACGAGTAGTGGCCAAACGAGATGCGGGAGGCGAAGTTGGAGTCCAACGCCATCACTTGCAGCGCTGGGATCAGAGCGCGCAGCAAAGACGAGCAGTGGCAACGGACCCTTGCGCTGCTGAGCGATGTGTGGGAGGCGAGCCCGGCGCTCAGCGTGTTTGGCCACAGCGCTGTCACCAGCGCGTGCGAATCGGGCGGGCTGGCTGAGTAAGATGCGGGAGTGAATCTGGGGCCCACCGTCGTCAGCCACAGTACTGAAGCCAACGTGTGCCACAAGGGCTGCAGTGGCAGCCGGCGCTGGCGCTGCTAACCAGGATGTGGGAGGTGAAGCTGGAGCCCAACGCCAACAGCTACAGTGCTGGCATCAGCGCCTACGAGAAAAGAACGCAGTGGCAGCAAGCTCTGGCGCTGATGCGCGAGATGCGGCAGGCAAATCTGGAGCCCGACGTTAACAGCTACAGCGCTGTACCAGCGCGTGCGAGAAGGGCGTGCAATGGCAGCCTGCTCTGGCGTGACTTAGCGAAGATGTGGGATGCGACTTTATAGTCAAACGTCACCAGCTACAGTACTGGCATAAGCGCGTGCGAGAAGGGAGCGCGCTGGCAACGCGCTCTGGCGTGGCTGCGCGAGAACTGGGAGGCGAAAGTGGAGCCTGGCGGCATCAGCCACAACGCTGGAAGAGCGAGCGCTGGCCGAATGAGATGCGGGGGTCGACCCCGGACATTGATGCCATTGACTACAGCGACGCCATCCGCGTGTGTGGGACTGCCGGTCAGCGGCGGCCTGGCGCTGCTCAGCGACATTCGGGAGGCGAAGCTGGAGCACGATGTCGTCCCGTGCAATGCTGGACGCAACGTGATCCTGGAGCCGACAGGGCGCGAGCGCCGCGGGCATCCGGACGCGGTGCGCACGCGCGCCGGCGTGCAGGACTGCGGCGCCACCGCGAGCGAAGTGGAACGAGGAAGAGGGGGAGCGATGGATGAGGATCACAATGCGTTCTGTCCTCACGCAGACGCACTCGGGGATGCGCCGCGGCGGGACCTGCGCCTAGACTGCTGCGGGAGCAGGGCTTCACCCTCGAGAGAGGACATCGCTTCCTTCAGCCCGGCACTCTCTTGTTTTAGCTGATGGCGACAAGCTGCCTCCAGGACTGGATGCCCTCATCCGAAGGCCGAGAAAAGTAGAATGGAGTCAAACAAACACCGCCCTAGAGCAACCTCGTGGCCGCCCCTGGCCGGAATCAACTGTGAAGAAGCCCCGGCAGAGCAGCTCGCAACCAGGGAGGAGACTGCGGCCACCGCACTGCCTGGCTCCCGTCAGTGCGCAGGGGGGGCGCCCCCGCAAGTCAGGGATAGCAGCGCCGCGCTGATAAGACATGAATGAAGCACGCTTCGTTGCCAGCGGGACTTAAGCTGCCGCTAGCCTGGACACCCTCGGCCGAATGCCGAACAAAAACCATAGAGGGTGACGAAGAAACCGGACAATAATCGCCTAAGACCACTCCCGGCCAGAATCAAAAAAATGTGACGACCCCCAAACACAAAGTAAACCGCCAACTCAACCTAACCAACTCGATTCCGAATCTGGCGAGGAGAGGGAGGGGGGGAGGTAAGACGAGGCCGCCAAGGCCTCTCTGACTCCACCCTTCGCCGGGAGCGTCGGCCGGGTGTCGAGGGGGCTGGAGATAACTCCAATGTTCGGCTCTTGGGCGTGCAGCCACACCGCGCCACGCCACCAACCGCAGGAGGAGCGGGGGGCGGTCGTCGGAGTCGGGGCCGCCGTCGCCCGCGGTGCAGCGACTTGTTGTAGCTGAAGGTGACAGGCTGCTCCTGGCCTGGACAACGTCGGCCGAGGGCCGAAAAAAGACTGGGTGAGGAAGACACCGCGGTTCTTGGGCGGCTCTTGGCTGGGAGCGGCCTTGTAAGGCGACTCCCGGCTGGAGTCAAAATCAACGGGGCGACACCCGAAAGCAAATATGTTAGCCAGCGTGAACCCCAAAGAGTAGGTTCTTGCAATCTATGTGGTACAATCTATGTGGCGCAATGCATGCGATGCAAACCATGTGGTGTAATTTATGCGGGGCAATCTATGTGGTGCGCTGTATGCCATGCAACGTATGTGATGCAATCTATGCGGTGCATTCTATGTGGTGCAATCTATGTGGTGCAATGTATGCGATGCAACTTTTGTAATGCAACCTATGCGGTGAAACAGATGTGCTGCCATGCATGCGATGCAACCTATGTAATACAGTCTATGCGGTGCAATCAAGTGGTGCAATGTATGTGATGCAACCTATGTGATGCAATCTATGTGTGGTGCAATGTACGCGATGCAACCTATGCAATGCAATCCATGTAATGCAATCTATGTGGTGCAGTGTAGGCGATGTAACCTATGCGAAGTAGTCTATGCGGTGTAATCTATGTGGTGCAATTCACCCTGCTGAACTTGAAGTCGTCATCTCCACTGCTCGCGCAAACATCCCACCCACCCATCCGCAACTTGGTTTGCAAAACCTGTTAAGACCGACTACGACGACACCGACGACAACGACTAGGACGACACCGACGACGTCTCCGACGACTTCGACGACGACAACGACGCCGACGCCGACGCCGACGAAGACGACGACGCCAACGAAGGCAACGAGGAGGGAGGAGGAAGGACGACGACGGCGACAACGACGACAATGACGACAACGACGAGGGAGGAGGGAGGACGGCGACGACGCGAACGACGACGAAGGAGGAAGGACGGCGACGCCGACGACGACAACGACGAGGGAAGAGGGAAGACGACGACGACAACGACGACGACGACGACGGCGACGAAATAGGAGGGACGACGACGAGACGCCGACGACGGACGGCGACGACGACGTGGGAGGAGGAGGAAGGACGACCACGGCGACAACGACGACGGAAACGATCACGACGCCAAAGAGGACGACGACGACGAACACGAGAAAAGACAGTGGACGACGTAGCGACGACGACGACGACGACGCGGGAGGAGGGAGGACGGCGACGACGACGACGACGACGACGCAAGAGCGCGCGCGCACGCTTTTGTTGAAAATCCGTGTTGCGAAACCTTGGGTTTTTGTAGGTTTTTTGGACGCACGATTTTGAAATCCTTCCGAAACCGATGGGTTTTGAAGGTTTTCGGCATACGCGCGCGACGACGCGCGCGTCTGCACTTCGTCCCATTTTTTGCAGAGGATTCTCGCGACGGCACACGTGCAAGGGCGTTCGACAGATTTCGACATGCGCGCGCGCGAAGCCCGTTTGGTAGCATTTTGTGAATTTTTTTTTTTTTTTTTTTTTTTTTTTTTTTTTTTTTTTTTTTTTTTTTTTTTTTTTTTTTTTAAAAAAATCGTAAGAGCTTTCGCGGAAGCTTTTTGAGCAAATCAGTGTTGCGAAACCCTGTGTTTTGATATGTCTTTTGGAAACTCGATTGCGAAATCCTTCCGGCACCGAAGGTTTTTAAAGGATTTCGGCATGCGCGCGACGACGCGCGCGTGTGCACTTCGTCTCATTTCTTGCAAGGGATTCGCGAATAAGTGCTATGTTAGAACAAACAATGTCACCGCATCGTGTTTTTTACGAAGGAAGCTCAGGGTGGGGAACCCGGCCTGGCTGGGATGATATGATTTCATATGTAGGATGGACGAGTGTGCAGAATATAAATGAAATTATACTATCCCAGGGGGAAGCGATAAGTCCGGGGGGGGGGGTAGAGTCTATTCTCTTTTGAGAAAGGAGAATTAATTTCTGTTCGCAGTGAGTTGTCCACTCCACTGCTCGCGCAAACATCCCACCCACCCACCCGCAACTTGGTTTGCAAAATCTCTTAAGACCGTGACGGTGGGTACCACATGGCACTTGGCAACAACAGCGACGCCGACGACGACAGCGACAACGACGATGACGACGCCGCCGACAACGACTACGACGACACCGACGACGTCTCCAACGACTTCGACGACGCCGACAACGACGACGACGACGACACCGACGACGACGACGACGACACCGACGCCGACGACGACGACGATGACAACGACGACGACGATGACGACGCCGACGATAATGACGACACCGACGACGACGACGACGTCAACGACGCCGACGACGACGACGACGACGACGACGGCGGCGGCGACGACGACGACGCCGACGTCGACGACCACGAAGACGACAACGACGCCGACGCCGACGCCGACGACGAAGACGACGACGACGTCGCCAACGAAGACAACGAGGAAGGAGGGAGGACGACGACGGCGACAACGACGACAACGACGAGGGAGGAGGGAGGACGGCGACGACGCGAACGACGAGGGAGGAGGAAGGACGGCGACGCCGACGACGGCAACGACGAGGGAGGAGGGAAGACGACGACGACAACGACGACGACGACGACGACGGCGACGAAATAG